CTCTGGAGTAGACGATGGGGAGCGATATACGATTGCCACGAAGCAGTTATCGTTGTGCCTGAAACGCAAACGCACCATAGCGAATCGGGGACTTGCGTCTTCGGATCAGCCGGTGGTTTGCATTGTAAGTCGTTACGATAGTATAGGATATCATTACCTCCCCTGCTGGGACCATCGTGTCGGAACAAGGACATACCCTGAATCGCCATCTCGGCATCCGTAATCCCTGAATGAAACCAAGTCTCGTTTATGGTGATGAGATCCAAAGCGTTTGTTGCTTGGCGAAATCGAAGCTCGGCGATTTTGATGAGGATGCCTTGGGCATTCGTGTACATGCAGGAAAGTGTTTCGGTTCTCAGAAACGATCCGAGACACTTGTGGCTAGGATGATAGGTTGCGCCAACCGTTGTATGGTCGGCCGCTAGCCGTTTATTGTGGTGTTTCGGCGAGTCGCTTGGAGTTAGGTTCGGTGGCATTGTGATTAGCCCCTCTGACAATTCAGTTTGCACAATGCATGGGGAGTGGCTACAGGATTGCACAAGAAGATCCTCACTTCTTGCAGGAGAAGTGCAGAGAGCGACAACAGCCGTTGTACTCGCTGTTTGTAGACATCGCCGAGGCGTTTAACACGGGGAACCGCAAAGCATTGCGGCTGGTGTTGGTTAAGTTTGGTTGTCCGAGTAAGTTTGTAACTTTAACTGAATGTCTGCACAGTGGTTTGCGGACGAGTGGACAGCTCTGTGGGTAAACCTCGGATTACTTTGTGGTTGTCTCTAGTGTGAAACAAAACTGTCTTTTAGCCCCTGCTCTGTTTAATATTTATTTAAATTACAGAAGAGTAGTAGGGGGAGTTGAATGGTATAGGTAGAACTTCGTCACATCTAGGCTCACTCAGACAGCCGCCACAAGCCCGGAAAAGCACTGTACGCGTGTTTCATCCTTTCGGGAATCATCAGCAGTGCGCATTCCATCGGACCCTTGGTAGGGCTCGAAACCGCAACTCGACTGTTGCCAGTCCGTGGTTGAGACCACTGAGCTACGGGGGACGGCAACGACCATCGTGAATAAGTTACTAGATGTGATATAGCGCCGCTCACTATCCACTGACTTACACGTTACTGCCGTGCAGAGGACAGGGTAGCCCCCTCACCAAGCGACGAGCTTAACAAACTTAAGCCGCCAATTATCTTATGACATTATAAGTAGTTTGTTCTGTGTACTGATTACCACGGACTGGCAACAGTCGAGTTGCGGTTTCGAGCCCTACCAAGGGTCCGATGGAATGCGCACTGCTGATGATTCCCGAAAGGATGAAACGCGCGTACAGTGCTTTTCCGGGCTTGTGGTGGCTGTCTGAGGGAGCCTAGATGTGACGAAAATTCTACCTATTTATTTAAATGTTATGATGTCTTGTGCTCAAAATAATTTGAAACATTGGTAGCCCGGGTTGGTTGTTCACCTGTTGATCGGTTCTCCGAGTTTCATAAAATGACTGCATATGTTTCGCCAACATACGAGTTGCTATCGTCAGTGCGGTGATGTGCAGTGTACAATCTTGCGCATTGACATCAATCCCGTGTACCAATAGGTCAGAAAGAAAGCACTCCGGTGATGGAAAGACACAATTCAGCTGCGAAAGGGAATGTGTGAAGATCACGAGGCGCAAATCGAAATTGCCACTTTCAATAGTCACCTGCCCGCCGATCACGGGCGGACGCTTCAATAAGAAATATTGTACACTGCACACCACCGCACTAATGCTACCACCTCGCATGGCGATGAAACATATGGAATCCTTTTTGATAATGGTGCTGGCGTGGAGCACCGTATTTCTGGTGGTTTTTTGAATATCCGTCATTTCGGGGAGAAAACCTTAGTGAGTGAGATGGACATCCGTATGCTGCTGTTTGCTGACGACTGTGAGTTGTTTGCATACAGCGCGGATGTGTTGCAGCACATGACTACGGCTCTCGCTTCGACAGTGGCCAAACTGGGACTCACAATCAACACAGGTGAGACAGGTTTTTCCAGCCTTCATAAGGAATGAAATCCGTAGGCCTGTCCCTAATCCAGGTAGCCGATGACATGTTGGAAACAGCATCGAAATTTTGGCACTTTTGGAGCGCAATATCAACCGACCTGCAGATGACAAGCGAGCTGCGCATGCACGTGTCAAAGGCAGTTGCTGCAGTTGGAATGTTGGAACATCTGCTGTGTAAGAACTACCAGCTGAACGTTGGGACGAAGCTGATGGTGTACAGCTCGATAGTACTGTCCGCTCTTCTATACGGCAGCGAAACATGGAAGCTTCATCGGAAGGAAGTCTGATATTTGGAACGGTTTCATCAAGAGTGTCTGCGCCGGGTTCGACACATTTGCTGGAGTGACTGAGTTGCAGACACGGAACGGCTGCGCCGAAGTGGCATGTATGAAGTGAACTGTATACTTCTGCTGCCTGTGGTGGCTTCTGCACCTGTGGTGCCTCGGACATGTCCGCCGTATGGATTCCACGATGATGCCCAAAAAGCTGCTATATGAACAACTTAGTTCAGGGAAGCGGAACATGGGAAAACCAGTTACGTTACCTGGACCTGATCAACTTGTGTTTCTCAAGAGTTAATGTTGATTATAGATGCTTGGGAGTATTTGCATTGGCAATGGCATGTCCACATAAGGATGCAGTTGCTACGGTGTACGATAAAGCCTTGCTGCATCATGAAAAGAAAGGCAGTTTGCAGAAGCATCAGGCGCCGATGGAGTCTAGCCCATCGACGTCAAGCGCATGGTACTGCAGCGCATGCGGACGCGAGTGTCTAAGCCAAGCCGGCTTCGTAAGCCACTAGCGTTGCCGCGCTGGTACACCATCGAAGAGGCGACGAGTTAGTTGAGCAGGGAATTATAATCTGGGCAGCACTAGGCAAGTACCGTGGTTCCGATTCCACTCCATTCCATTTACTAACCCAGGCGAATCATGCGGTCGATGTGGTACGTGTGCTACATCATCGCTGCAGTTAGTCCGTTCGTGAGCCTGTACTTCGAGTTTCTTGCATTTCAGGTGTTCGTGGTTGTTTGATATCATCGGTGTGGCTGTGCTTGATGTGAAGGTTGACAAAGTGCCTACCTGTTGAAAAACCGCCACCCCAATTATACTGACCCCCAGGAGACAGTTGGTCGTTGTTGGGGGCGGGGTGCACTGTCTTTGTAATCGTGCTAGGCTCAAAGGGTGGTTCTATCCAGTCTGGAGCGGGTTTCGGTCCAGACACATGCTTGTGTACTTCTGGTACGCTTGGATCCCCAATTAGGAAGACAGGAATACTGCGACTGTGCATATTGAAGGAGTGTTGATGAAACGTGGCTCCCATCCACGTACCTCCCGGTCTTATTCCTTTGCGTTTTCACTGGAGATAAGGGACGTGGATGGGGCTGTGGGTGGTGCAACGCAAGCCATTCATGGTTCTTCTGTAGGCGGAGGCGTCCTGTACCTATCCTATGGAGGTTACAGTGACAGACAAATTCAGAACCGGTTGCCGCCAACCATGTGTGTTGCAAAATGTGTACTATACGTGAACATCCGGTGAACCATAGCTCCACAAATAGTCTCTAATTCTATCATTTACAGTTTTTTTAATACAACTATTGTCGTGTTTGTAAATCATTTGTTTCTCAAGATCTTTATTTTAGTATTCACTGAGGCCACTAAGATCAGAAAAGCGGACATTGAATGTCATCTTTTCATTGACTTTTTCTCAGAGTTTTCGTTCTGCCTTGCAGGTTTGTGCATAAAGTTTACGCGGCCCACGCCTAGAATTTTGTCAGTTACCCGGCCCGTGCTAGTCATCTTTTGCAGTCATCCCGCCCACAGTGAAAAAGCGTTCGTTGACCCTTGTTTTAACTTAACACATCCGCAGTTCATTGTGCACAATCCCCGGCTGATTCGAACACAGTAAGGCGTTATGCAACCGGTAATAATCCGGGTTAGAATAATGTAAATATGTTGGTATGCTAGTTGACAATTGGTCAAATTTTACCGGCTTAATACGCAAATGCACAGCGTTGTAGAACAAACGAATAAATCACTGTCAATGATACGGTAGAATGTCTTGTATCCAAAACAGTCAAGTGAGGAACGCAATGAACCAAGATTAGTTTGATTTACATGTGGTAAATAAACTGTTGGCGAACGTTGACATCAGTTGCCTTAGTGGGACATTGTTTAGCCATTGTACATGAAAACTGCGCTTAGGCAAACCTAAGTATTGCATCACTAGGAAAATCCTATTTGACCATCCCATGTATCAGCTCGTTCTGCTAGATATCCGACCAGTTTTAGTGGGCTGTAAAGTGGGTCACAATGTAAGCTCACAATGCTTAGACTATCTTCCGTACTTCAATGTAACCAACTGCAATCGACTAGACAAGAAACTGGTGGGCAAGTTACAACTAAGCAGTTTCATATGCAAGACTGTGGAGTCAAATAACCTTGGGTAACTGGAAAGGCAACACCAATACCTTCTCGATCAGAATTCCATCATTTTAATAGACTAGTTCGATTGTAACATGGAGTACACAGGTTCTAAATGTTAACGAAATTTTGAGATTTTAACCTGCATATCGACGCACTGAATACTGACATAATTCGAAGTGTGTCAAATATCAAAACTTAGATATAACATTGTGAGTTACTGGGAGATGACATGTTCAGCTACCACACTAGATAGAGTCAGGATGAATGTGGGCCACCTAGAATGTTAAGATATCGATTACTTCATAGTCTATATCGTGCGCACCAAGTTAGCTACCACTATTATTTTAAACCCCAAAGGCAACAATGCCGTTCCAAGTCAAATTACTTCCTTTAGTTATACATTAACTTGATAGGAAATAAAAAATATTCCGAAAAATCTGTTCTGCTATGTATGAAATGCCTGTTAGATGAATAGATCCCGATTCTCTCTGTCGTGTCGGATAGCGAGTTACTTTGAAGTGATTCTGGGCACGGTATGGATTTCTCGCCTCTCTGCACTCCACTGCAGGTATGAGAGAGCCACTCCGAAACCCTCCACTTCGGTGGCGGTCCCAGTGACTGTATTGGCAGAAACTGACTTCAAAGTCAGCCAAGGTCACGATTGAGATTGCGTGTCGCAATCCAAGACACATGGTGGGTGCTCCAAACTCCGAACACCAAAATGAATCTGGGTACATACAGCATTTGGACCATCTCCGAAGCAGATAAATACCAAAGGTTGTGTTCGTGTAGCATCGCACAACAGAACTGGTGTCATCCCTGTTTGGTCTCCTTGGGAAGAGCTAAACGGATGCTGCAAAATAAACAGAGCAGCGAGGTCCTAGCGACTAGGAAAGGCATTGTTGATGAAATTCGGTGGAGTGGTGTTGAAGGCGTCTACTGACAGACTTCACAGCTCGGGTTCTACTCTCAGTCCATCTATCTTTAACCACAGAGCTCAGATGAGAGCAAAATGACGAAGAACTTTCAGTCGAAGTGAGCAACAGCTAACATGTAATCATTTTTAAAACACTAAAATAATAGTGCCATGGCTATTGTTGTAAAAAACAAGGGAACTCAAACACCTGCGCTGCTTTTCTGCAATCGATTAGGTAGGTTTGCAGTAAACGACTAGTGCAGCAGCTGGGTTACTGATACATAACCAAACTTTTTGCTGATTTTGAGTGCCACATGAGAGTGTACAAGCGGTCATAAATATATCGACGTAAGCGGGCTCACACTCTTACTGACGTTGTCGTATTTCACTAACCCACTAGAGTAAACGTACAGCAACTAATGACGCTCGAAAACTTGTAAGCCCTCCGTGGTTAAGTTGGCACTCTCCCCGTCACTCGCAAATAGTCACTGATAGTGCATATTACGTTCAGTTTCTTGCCTCACACGTGGAACGCGTTAATAGATTTTTATCTATTTAGTGGCTTTAAGGTGAGAGATGGCTAAACGGATGGTGATAACGCAAAAGGATTGCTGCCGACGGGAATCCCAAAATGAGGGTGAAGTAGAAAGAGTTTAAGATAGCTTGTTCGACCCCTACTCTAAAAGTTCGCACCTATTAGTCCCGACCTGTTTCTTTGGCGTCTCAACGAAGGAACACACTTTACTTTCACCTCATCTTGTGACGTTGCAGAAGGATTTTTATACTCATGAGTAGTGAATTTTCAATGTAATCAACTGTGGTATCTTCGAATTTGCTTCAAAGGCAGCTAGTCCTACGCACTCTCGAAAAAGCATCAGACAGTCGTTACGGCCCGTCTGGATTCGTCAATAGTGCGAACTCGTCATCAAGACCCAGACGCATGAGCAGTAGCGGCTTGCGCCACTAGGCAGCGGCTACAGTCACCAAATGCTGTCATACATAGACGCTGTTAGTGGAAGCCGTCGCTCGGGAGCAACTCTGCCCTCTTCAGCTTCCGTGACTTGGATGGCAACGGAGTATGAGTTGCGCTATATCGTAGTCAGTTTGTAAATCATGACGGTCCGCCTCCGCCGCTCATGGTCTAGGGGCAGAAACTGTTAGCTAGTGGAGAAAGCCGCTAGGCCACCTGTTGCGTATGTCAATACACCGATTCACGCGAGATATGTTGTTTGTGCGCCAGGTGTGTGGATGGAAGACGAGGAGGGAAGGCCAAGCGATGATTTGGTCAAGAAGAATGAAAACCCTTAATTCGAACATGGCATCGATTGGTGTTTCCGACTGCCAGGCTGGGGACGGAAGGCCGATGAACAGCTTTGCTTGGATACACCAGTTGACATGGTGAGGGGGCGACCTCAGTGGCGTTTGTATTATGAGTTTCTTTGTCCCGATCCATCCCGTTTATCTTCCCGCTCAAACCAATATGCGTCTTGTAGTATAAATGTTAATAAGCAGTATGTTAACTACTTTTGTATTCTATAGTGCTTATTGCCTCGCTTACGCATATTTCTTATCATTTTAGCTTGCGGCACAATATTTGGAGTGTTTAGCGCCTTCAGCTAATGATGATGATGATGATGATGATGATGATGATGATGATGATGATGATGATGATGATGATGATGATGATGATGATGATGATGATGATGATGATGATGATGATGATGATGATGATGATGATGATGATGATGATGATGATGATGATGATGATGATGATGATGATGATGATGATGATGATGATGATGATGATGATGATGATGATGATGATGATGATGATGATGATGATGATGATGATGATGATGATGATGATGATGATGATGATGATGATGATGATGATGATGATGATGATGATGATGATGATGATGATGATGATGATGATGATGATGATGATGATGATGATGATGATGATGATGATGATGATGATGATGATGATGATGATGATGATGATGATGATGATGATGATGATGATGATGATGATGATGATGATGATGATGATGATGATGATGATGATGATGATGATGATGATGATGATGATGATGATGATGATGATGATGATGATGATGAAATCGCTAAGTTGGGATCCTGATGGACCAGATGGATGTGTACTACTGACGAGCCTCGACAGGTTAAAATGGCAGTCTAGGGATTTGCTGGGCAAGTAGAGGACCAATCGACTTGGAAGCTACTTCGAAGAAAAGCCAATACTTTAGAACAGTTAAAATCTATGAAACTATTGGTGAAATACTCATGTTTTCTACAGGGCTAACCTCAACTGTTTGCCAGTCTTAGGTTAACTAGCAGTAACCGAATTGATGACTACCTCAGTGTTAGGAGACATCTTCGATTTTTACCTGTCGAACTACGGCTGAATGCGCAATGATGAAAATCAGAACAACAGTTTTCCTCGCTGCAGTGAAAGATCAGGAGGACCGCTTTGAAATCTACTGCGCTGACATGCTGCTCCTTGGAAGTGACCAGGCGCAGCTGCAAAAAGCGAGTACTTCCGGCTGAAACAATCATCCTAGCGTAAACACACTAAACGCGATGCCGTTGTGTGCTGGTGAAAGTTGACTGGATTGAAATCCAAAGTTCAACATTTCATGTATTTGCACAAATTATAACCATGGGCCACTAAAAGGCATGTCTGTCGATGGATTCATTGACCACAACAAACTGCGGTTAGCCGGAGAGTAAATCGTGATACCGGCAAGAAAAAGGGGTGGCAAATCACAAACCGCATAATTCACAAACATGTATACTGGTACTCACGGCAGTGCGGGTCCTGTTCATCAGATCCATCTGGACAGTCTGAGCGACCATTGCACAAGTAATCCTCATGTACGCAGCTTCCATCGCGACACATGACCTCCGACGGAGGGCAAGGAGAGTCAACCAAGATTTCAATGAGTGTAGACACCCCATGCGGATAAGAACAGCTGAAAAAATATCGCATGGTAAGCGCACTATCAGATCAGATATCGCGCGGTTAAGGGGTCAACCAGGAAACCTGTCTAAATCATTAATCGGTACCTTAAACGCATTCCACGGTCTCTTTCAGTTACCGGTGAAAGACGAGCAAACACAACTTCCGTGGATGGTCTGGTCACGGTGAACCGAGGGAGATGTTCCACAGAGGTTCCATTGAGTAAAGTGAGCTGAGGTTGCACACCCGTTCTACCTGAGCGACATTCGAGTTCCAGCGTCCCATAAGGACGGACTATCGGCCTTTCAGGGACAAGCGCAGGACCGGAACCTAACAAAGAGTGGTCATTTGAAAGGAGTGCAAATAAGATGAAAGGACGTATTCTCGGTGTAATGCACATCGAAAATTGACTGACCAACATAGGTTAAGCATTCCACAAAAATGTCCAAAATGCTGGGATAATTTGAGATGGATTCAAAACGGTAAGCATTTTTAGATACAATTTATTTGGCCACATGCTTTCCAGAAATTTGCGAAAATGCTTGTGAGGGAAACTGTTCCATTGTGGTTCGTCTATTAGATGATCGTGTAAAGCGGTAGTCCGGACTATCCCTCCGATATGTTTTTGGCGCATGTGGAAACAGTCTAGTTATTTCTGTACCCGGTACTTACCACAGTGTTCTGGCCCTTCATCGGACCCATCACGGCAATCCGTTCTACCGTCGCAAAATCTATCCTGCCGCATGCATGCGCCATCGCGGCACATCAGCTCGAAGTCCTGGCATGGAGAATCGATGATGATTTCACGGATAGTTGACTCCCCAGTTTGATATGAACACCTATAAAACAGCAATCATGGTGAGGTAATAAACCCCATAAGATACGCAACTGTGATACAAGGGGATGTACAAGAACACAATAAGATCGTTTCATCAGAAAGTAAAACATTACTAGTGGGCGGCGTTATGTCAAGTCTAGTAATTAAGTCACGTCGGTCGTTGCTGTGCCCCGTAGCTCATTGATTGATACCACGCACTGGCAACGGTCTGGTTGTGGTTTCGAAACAAACGGAGGTTAGATGGACTGGGCACTGCGGACGATTCCCGGAAGGGTGAAATGGCCGTACACTGCTTTTACCAACATTGCGATCTCTGGGGGCTGTAAGTCAGAACAACCCGTACGTCAACCTTCAGAAGTTTGGGGAAGGTTTATGGATCAGATTGTTGGAACGGCAGGAATTAAGAGCCAAAACGTGCACCGTTGTTTCACGATACCCTTCGGTTGGTAGCGAACAACGAAAGTTGTCATGTGTAACATCCTTGGACGATTCTTAAGGGAAGCGCATTGATGCATCTGCTCTCCAAGGGAGCACTAGGAAGTGTTCAAATGCAGGATATGCGTTTGACCACTTAAACCGGAGCATCTTTTGCGTCGAACAAACGTGGGCCTTGTAAAAGTCGTCTTGTGATGCCGTACGCTTGTCTGAGAGTTTGGTGGCCAGTCACTTATTGATACTACTACATAGAGCAGAAAATATGTGGTGGTCGAATTCTGGAAATCCTTTATCGAAAGTAGGTGTAATATTCCCATGATTCTCGGCCTTCTGGCACGTCACGCTAGATCTTTATGGGGTCTGGCGGAGAGTTTAAAGCTAGCAATCAAATGCCGCTGGAGAATGAAGTTGTCCATCGGTACAAACTATCAACTCTATAGCCACAAATACTTCAGCAGAGAACTCGACTTTAGACAACCAATGCTATCGATAAGTTAGGCTTGCAAACGCAACCCATACTTTAACATCGAATCTAATGTCCAAGCGGTAAGTCCGTAGCATATATTAATTCTCGTGATGCATAATCTTTCGAAATAACCCATGAATTTTTGCACAAATATGGATTCAATAATTTAGGGAATTCACTGATAGCTGAGTTACCGGGGGTAGTTTTCCGGAAAATCAGTATCGACTTTTGATTTCAGAAGGTTTTGAATACAAATCGGCTTTTGGAGGTTTGATTACGGTAGTGTTTCGCCCTTGACGCAAGAACGAAACGTTGCCATAATAAAAACCTATAAAAGCCGATTTGTATTCAAAACCTTCTGAGATCATGAGATCCCCGTCGGTTCCAAGCATATTCCCAGTATTGACTTCCTTATAAATAGGATTGACTATTCCAAACTTCCACGTATTTGCGAATAGTACGGTACAAAATTAATGCTAATAGAACCTAGAAAACGGAACTGTCATATTTCAGCTAACGGTTTGAATGCATTTGCGTGAATCGCATGCGCATCGTCGTGGCCATACTTTGGGCGAAGCAAAAAGGTGAACTGCAGCTATCACACGCACAGTTGGCTGGTCGTAATTTCCAGTTGCTCGCATGACCATTAAATCTCTTTTTCAAACGAAGATTGTAAGGCAAATAGATACTCGATGGATAAGGTAGATGGCGACATGTTTTTGCAAGAATTGCGTAGGTGAGTAGAGCCGCAAGGCGTGTGTACTCGCTCTTCGGTTACGCAGTAGCATGAAACACGTAGCAACTCTTTGACGTCGCCGGATTCGATGCCGGACATTATTCCTCTTTCGTCACGGTTTTTATCGCGATATTTTGTGCATCGCAATCAATCCACGCACAAGGACCTGACGCGTGGGACAACCATGTTCTTGCCATCTTGACTAGAGGTATCGAACGATGTCCAAACCCTTTTTGTGCTCAAGTTTGAAATTCGCACAGCCTTGTTTGTTGACAATAGGGGTAGGATTGACCTTATGCGTTATTTATTCAAAGCAGTGCGACAATTAACCTGCCTAACTGTTTCATTGTGTATCAGTACACTTCTAGAGCGTAGTGAACTCTGTGATTTGAATTAATTATCAAAAGAGATTATCTACAGCCACATTCAGCCAGACAACCATTGCACATCCAAAAAAGTACTGGACGCCCGTTTAATTTTTTTGGCAATCCTCAGTAGCGCCTATCCATTCTCTACGGTGGGACTAGAAAACCCAACCCAACTATTACGAGTTAGTCCTTAAGACCAATGGATCGCGGAGGCTGGCCAGTTACGCCGTGATATGGCATATACACTAACCAGGTTATTGTCACACGGGTTTCCAACGTGTAGTTGACTTCCATTATTGTGTGCCATTGCCCGAGTGCTCACGACGGTAAGCTTGTTCCTCACTGCTTCCCGTCAAGTGAATAAATTGTCATTACGGTTCATGAGCTGCTGGGGAACGTAGGCTGTTTTACCTTATACTGAATGGTATAACTGTGGATTGCTTTTGACATCGATGGCGATTCGTCACTGATACACTCAGTAAACCAATCGTCATACATGCGGAAAGCATCTGGACAACCGGTTCATCCGTTCCGGAGTCGTCAGCAGTATACCATCCATCGACCCGGTGAAGAGATAAAATTACGACTCTACTACGGAGTTAGAAATTAAAACCACTACGCAGCTGGATGTGGCGGTAACCGCCGTAACCAGAGACCAATATGTGAAAATTCCTGTTCACAATGCTTTCCGAAAATCTGTATCCAACAAAGTTAGCTCACACAGCTATCGGACAATGGCGGTCAGCAAAAGGAGTCATCTCTTCGGATACAGACCCTGTCCTCTACACGATGGAAACGCAGTGGATAATGAGAAGCGCTATATCACAGCTGATAATCTTGTCACATCAGTTGTTGCAACTTATTCCTAAACACTGATTCGTAAGTGAATAGCAGCTGGAATGTGCACTGGTAACGATTCTCTAAGGTAAGAAATGGCTGTTCTAAATTTTGGCTATCGATAACTATCTACCCAGAGTGTGTAGATTTTATGATCTAATTATTCTGTTTATCCATACTTGTAAGTGTGGAGTGGAAACTAACCTGTTTGATTTACTGATGATTTGACCCAACCAGTCGTTGCTGTGTTCGCCAAGCTTGGCAATGAGCTTGCAGGCGTTTTGTCACCAGCCGAGGGGACATCATCATTGTGTAGGAGTGAGCAATTTCGTAACAGGAGTTGATGGTAAGCAAGTCCGCGTATGGATGTAACCAACCACTTCTCCATTCCTTATAGGGGCTATTGGAGTCCCCAAGTTAGTCCTGTTCTGATTGGTTACGCATTGTGTTCTGCTTCTGTGTTTGTGACATAAGGTGTCAAAATGTTTCTGCGACGTGGGAAAGATTCTCACTCTTGGATTGTTACCGGAGCCATACAGACAGCATTCTGGTGCACATCGAGTATCCTGCTCAATGTACGAGTACCAGATTGTTTACTTTCGAGTTGTAACTTTGAATCGGTTTGAGCTCTGTTTGTCTCAACGATTGGTATCTCGGATCGATGTCAGCGCACATGTTGATTGAATTGTTTGTGGAGCACTAAATCTTAAAGAATTCCATCCCATTTTGTGTTATGGTTGGGTTAAGATCTCTATTTATTCCGGTCCTTCTTCATCCGTATGTGCTGATACTAGTGAGGTTGCATAATGTTTTTTGCAAGTTTCTTTGTATTTCTATATACTGGTATATAAATACTGGGTGATGCCTCCGAGCATCTTGAGAGCTACTCCTACCAGGTTGGTCAATGGTGAGAGGTCAGACAAACTCAGTCTCCTGGTCCTCCAGGTTGGGGGTTTGAAATGGGATGGCGCCCATTTCTGTAAAACTAAATCACTGCCACCCCGCTGCCTTGCGGACAGGCTTTTGAGCCAAAGGCCTTGGATGAGGACCCTAATCGTTCTCCTGTCTAGGTCTGGGCGCCCTGGCAGTATCCCAGCCCACGTACAACCATGACATTTTCTTCAAACATAAACTTCATCCTGCATCGGTCGTCGCGCAGATTATCAAGGGTCGCCTTATCTGCTGCATACAGCAGGGCGGATAGGCGAAAACATGCTACTGCTGGCGCCTCCCTTCTTTCTTTTCCACCTTTTACTCCCATCCCGGCCCCCATTGCTAACCTTTCTTCTATAATTCCCAACCTAATTGACAGCAACCGAAGTGCTACTGGAGTAGAACCATCTGCAGCCACCATCCCACCGCACCTATCGGACGCCTATCGGCAAAAGTCCCTTATAAGGCCACGCTGTCCCGTTGCCATGGCGACATTCAACGTCCACACTCTAAGACAAATAGGTCAACAGGCTGCACTCGTACGCACCTTGGACACACTGGGTGTTGATGTGTGTTGTGTGTCCGAAACTAGGATTAATGACCCTAACGGGGTTATTGAATTGACTGCACCCGGCTTATCCTCTCGTTATTGGTTGCACGCATCCGGAGACGCCGATGCGGCACTCATAGGTCAAGCTGGTGTAAGTATCATTCTCAGCGCCAAGGCTGAGCCATCATTGGTTGATTGGATTCCGGTGAACAGCCGTTTATGTGCAGCCTGTTTGACGACATCAGCTAAGGTGGATTCGCGAAGTAGTGCAAAACGCTGTTTGTTTGTGATTTCCGCTTATGCTCCCACCGACTGCAGTTCAAATGCAGTCAAGGACACTTTCTATCACGAAATGAACGCCCTACTACGCAGTGCTACTAGTTCAGATATTATAGTATTTGCAGGGGATATGAACGCACAAGTAGGGCGTCTGAGCTCTTCAGAAGCTCAGCTGGGTGGTAATTATGGACTTAACTCCGAACGGACTGACAACGGCGAGCGTCTGCTGCAACTGTGTGCGGAGCACCAGTTGTTTCTTAGTAGCACTGCTTTTAGACACAGTGGGAGCCGAAGTGCCACTTGGCGTCCTCCTGTACCTGGCCAGCGATGGACCCAAATTGACCACATAGCCATAAGTTACAGGTGGCGCGGTTCCATTCTGGATTGCCGCTCGTACTGAAGTACCTGTGTCGACTCTGATCATGCCTTGGTGCGCTGTCGTTTCACCATGAACTTTACCGGAAGGCGCACAAAGCGTCTCCTCCGATTGGCAACGGAGAAATTGTCCCAGCCCTCGGTCAGGCAAGCCTATCAAGAAGCACTGCATAGTGAACTCTCGCTGTCTTGTCCTAATGACACTGAACTTAAGTGGACTAGGATCTCGGCCGCTATGCACGACGCAGGAGTATCTGTTTGTGGCACTATCAGTCGTCACCGCACCAGTCACTGGATATCCGAGAGGTCCGTGAACCTGTTGGAAGCTAGAAGACACCTTCCGGCTGATTCTGAACACAATGTGACCAGACGGGCTATTAGGCGTGAAATAAGCGGAGCCTACGTGCTGACAAGGAAGCCTGGTGGACCAGTAGGGCTCAAGAAATGGAGGAGGCAGGAGCGGTAGGCAATTACCGCAAGCTCTTCCAGCTGATCCGCACCACTGGTCCCAGAAAACCGGGCGTCAGTGAGACAATCAGAGACAGCGCGGGTGCGCTGATACACAATGAAGATCGCCGTATGGCTCGTTGGGCTGAACACTTTCAAGTTCAGTTCAGCTGGCCCCCTGCTCCAGGACCTCTTCCTACTCAGGTGATGCAGGACATGCCATGGACGGTTAGTTAGAGCCTCCGTCGGAGGCCGAGGTCCGAAACGCGATCACAGTCCTCAATCGTTTTCGTGCCGCTGGCCCGGATTCCCTCCCACCTGCACTATTTAAGGATGGAGGTGAGGTCCTCTGCAAAGCACTGACCTCCCTATTCGCACGTATCTGGAACGAAGAGAGTGTGCCGGCTAATTGGAGCGAATCGATTATAGTGGCAATATACAAGAAGGGCAGTCGCACAGACTGTGCGAACCACAGGGGTATTAGCCTAACGCCAGTTGTGACAAAATTACTGGCCTCGATTATCGTTCGTCGCCTCACTGCAGAACTGGAATCTCGGATTAGGGAAGAGCAGGCAGGTTTCCGTTCAGGACGTGGCTGTATACACCATATATTTACTTTGCGGCAGGTGCTAGAGCAGCGCCACGCATACCGCAGACCGACAATAGCTGTGTTCCTCGATTTCAAGAGTGCGTTCGATTCGGTCGATCGATCGACTCTGTTCGAAATACTTGCGCGGAAAGGTGTTCCCACGAAATATGTGAACATCCTTCGTGCTCTATACTCGAACACTACAGGCCACGTCAGGGTCTGCGGTGACCTATCGGATAGCTTTTCGACTACAAGTGGCGTTCGTCAGGGTTGTCCGATTGCCCCGTTTTTGTTCAATTTCTTCGTGGATTCTGTCATGGAGTGTTCCCTTGCGGAATCTCACAATGTAGGCGTTGAAGTGCTGCTTGGTGAAAGGTTAGTTGACCTAGATTATGCGGACGACATCGTCTTGCTTTTCGACGATGTTGGGGCGGCACAATCAACCCTGAATAGCCTCTCTGTAGTGGTCCCATTATTTGGTATGCACTTCGCACTTTCAAAGTGTAAAGTGTTGATGCAGGACCACCAGCCACTTGATGACACCTTGACGCTTGCTAACGAGGAACTCGAGGTGGTTGATCATTTCACTTACCTTGGCATCTGCATCAGCAATGATGTACGTATAGAAACTGACTTGAGCTCACGAATTGCAAAGGCCAGAGCTTCCTTCTTGGACCTGCGTCATCTTTGGCGACAGAAGGGAGTTTCCCTCCGTTTGAAAGGCCGTGTATACAAGGCCACCGTGAGGGCCGTTCTGCTCTATGGTAGTGAAACTTGGCCCCTTCGGTCTGAAGATCTGAGGCGCCTCCAAGTCTTCGATCATCGTTGTTTGCGAAGCATTGCTGGTGTCGGAAGGCACCAGCGTATCCCCAACGATGATGTGCGTAGGCGAGTACTAGGTAGTGATAATCATGCTAGCACCCTAGAATAACAGATAGCACTGAATAAGTTGCGTTGGCTCGGGCACGTGCTACGCATGCCTGGTCACCGCTTACCCAGGAGGGCCTTGTTTAGTCTGCCAGGTGTAGGATGGCGCAATGCTCGAGGTGGACAGAAGTTGACTTGGCAGCGTGAAATGAAGTCACTGACAACCAAACTGGGTGCCGTTGGTCCGTCTCGCCTTCCGGGTTGGAGTCCCCGTGACTCACCTTGTGCTTGGCTCGAGACTTTGCAGGACATGGCTCGCACCCGACATCAGTGGCGCGTCTGCTGCCGTCTTCTAATCGGATTGCCTGTTTAAAGTATGTTTGGTGCTGAGTTATCTGCGGGGTAATGGCTGATTATGACGCGTGGCAGTGAAAGCCGCAAGGAAGCTGTCTCGCCGATGCCGCCTTATCTTTGCACGATAGCCAGCTGTTTGTGACGGTATGTTGTCTACACAAGGTGTAGGTGCCTTGACCCTGAATGTCTGCTTAGGGCATTAAGGTTTTCAGGTAAGTCCCTCTTTCTCTCCCCTTCTCTTATTCTTTACTTCATAGGTTCTCATGGTTGTATGGCAGCGAAGCATCAGTTCAAATGGCTGATGTACTGCTGTTGATGATGATGATGATGATGATGATGATGATGATATAAATTCTTTCTCGTTTGTGCTTATCCCAAGTTCTGAGATGTGTTTCGTACAAAACATTTCGCCGTTCCTGCGCTTCTTCTTTTCCTTTTGGTTTTGACAGTGTTGTCCAAGTGGCAACTGGCTTGCATACCAAAATGGTGCGGTACTGCTTCGACAACCTAGCCATCATTTTAGATATATTATTCGTATACGGCATAACGATCCGTTTATATATCGTGAACATCGGCTGGGTTTGTGGTATTACGAATTAGACATCTACCGATGAAACTACTTAGGTATGCGTTGAATTCAAAGAACTTGAATGCGTGCTTCTGCTCCTACCTTTTCGCTTTCGTAGTACTGCAATGAGATTATATTCTACGAAACGGTGTCGGTGCACAGCTCGATTTCCAGCGTTTCTCAGCTCGGCGAACCCCACAGCAACTAAACATCCAACCTAAGCCACCAGTATTTCGTCTGGCCCAACCAGTTCTCTACACCTGATTGTATATACCCTAGCAAGCTCTTGCACATAGAAGAGAAGTCTGACGGAACCGTTAGGTACACTTCGAGTGCGCAGAACTTCGGTAGAGCGATGAATCAAGGTATGAGTCAGAGAACGCTCGAATTACTCGACAACATGGATTGTTGGTGGGAATAGCAGCATGCGTTTCTTTTGCTCGGGTTTGCGCGGTCCCAATCTTGGCCCGTTGAAAGGAAGGAGGGAAAACGTACATTAAAATCAACCAAGGCGCCCACAGAAAACGAGCATTGGAGAACGCAGACTTAATGAAAGGCTTACGATCAAAAGGTGGTATAATTAGATGATGACCTCCTTAAATCGTCCCGTTCCTACCGGTCGAGGGTTGCGTGTATCAATAAAATTTAGCCAGCTTCTCTGCAACCAGCACAGGTATGGTTTATCTACATAGTAATGCGGTGTTCCAAATGTGGGATCATAGTGTAATGGAAGAATAAGACGCCCTGCCGAATTTCCTCCGTGGTACAACAGACAAGGCATCGACTGCAGTGGTAAAAATGAGGTGATGCTGGACAGCATCCAATCACGCATTTTTCCCATTTGCGGTAGAAGCAAAAACTTATTCTTACTCTCCAGCCTCAGCAACGTGACGCTGTCTTCCCATCGCGCTAGTTGACACATCACCAGCGTTCAAATCGACCAGAACAGAGCCGAGCCTGACCATGGAAAGAGAACAATATGCAGAAAACCCATCGAATCGCTATGCACATCTCTATCGGTGCCTGCGAAGTGTTGGCTCCAGTTCTGATCTCGGTGTGCTCTGCACACTTTCATGTGATAGGTTTTCCTTAGTGGTAGCTTAGTCTGAGAAGCTCACGCTTGTGCTTACCATGGGAATATAACTCTTTTACTCGCGACATGTGACCTTGGAGGTATACAAGTAGACGTTCGTGGTTGTATGAAGCAGGAAAATATGTTCGCAGCTACATCGAAATACGATCGTTATGCATTCCATGTAATCCGCATACCTAAGCTGTAATCCGCGATCACGTTCCGTGACTCCACTGATGTGCGCCACTATCGTCTCCACATTTGGTCGTGTGACGGAAAAACGAGGATGTCTTTCCACGGGGATCCCATCTCCTACAATCATTATTGGTTGTACTCCAGCACGATCGGAACGGCAAGAAATTTCCATCGAAGCATACGGTCGCACGAGGACTCGGTCGGGGTACATTGAAGGTCCGACAACTGTGAAGGGGAGATCAAAACAGATCATACTTATATACTGACCAGTTATCAGTGGCAAGCCAAAACTTCTATGCTGTCACTTTTCCCCAAGATTCTATACAAGTGAAAAAATGGAAATGCACATTACGAGGAGCTTAGGTGTAACAATACGCCAAAAATTTAGTAGACTAACCATGGGTGCTTGTCATTGTACACATGAGCGTGCAAAATAAGGGCGGTTATTTCATCAATAAACCCAGAGGCATCTGAGTACAGCGTGACATTTGGCTGACATGAGACATCAATGTTTGCGAAAAGGAATGTGTTTGTGTTTTGATTGGTTTGGCATACAGTTCCCAGCTTCTGAATCACTAAGCCTGTCGCAAGTGGGGAAAACTCTTAATTAACGGTGGAATGGTAAGCACTGCAGGTCGTCAGTGGACCTATTTAATACGTAAATTCCAACCAGCTGTGACTAAGTGGCATACTTTGTAACGGTCAATCCCCACAGGAGGGGCTATTCAGAGTAGGATGGGAATTCGATAGTTGCGGTTAAGATACCATCTACACTGAGCCAAATCGAAATCATCTAAATTGAAAGGATTAGGTAAGGTTGAAATCGGGCTAGTAGAACTATTAAAATATTTTGAACAGATTGCAAACTTGCGCAACGAGTTAACTAAAAGCGGAGTTAATTTCTGAGAATACTCTTACGAATCCAGATTTGATTCAATGGTTAGGGAGTATGAAAATCTGTCGCTCGCATAACCATTGAATGCCCCAAGCGTATGGCTAATTTAAACCGGCATAAATGTACGATTGTGTCAAGTCTGTTGACCAGGATTTTACTCCCATAATTTATTTCACCAGCTGACTTACAACTGGCTTCTCAGCTAAGTATAATCAGCCATTAGTTAAAGAATCACGAAAAACAGTTTATCAATACCAATAATGGTTGCGCAAAATCTGCTGCCCACAGTGGGCATACGCGTAGAAAAAATGATAAATGGTTCCACATGTACAAGATTGAAATTTAGACCACCAGCAAATGAGTGCTTCCGGCAGTTTTTTGTTTCACCGGCACATTTCAGCGCTTATTTTATAGAAGTTACTCACAGGTGAATGGGGTGCCTGAATGGAATTGGTTTGCAGAGGCACAATAGCTGGATAGCTTTTGCTTCAGATTTGTTGGCCGGTCAAATGTGATCCTTTTGGGCGAACTGACTGAGATTCACTAATTTGGATTATGTTTGGAACCGAGCAGGATTCATATTGAAAGGAATCTCAATCGATCCGGTCACTGGGACCATAATGAAGAAGACTAAATCTGTATGGAGACCAAAAGTAAGATTTCTTGCCTCAAGCCATTCACGCAACGGGTGCTTCGAACGAAGTAAGAATGACTGATTAAATGTGATAAACGCTGTGCAGTAGCTCGGTAGCATGGGGGCACAGGCATCAGCTGGCAAGCTCGATTCTCCGAGATTGAATCGCAGCTCGGCTGTCTGTACTTGAAGACTATACATTAACAATGGGACATTTGTGGAGTGCCGAGCTGCGAAAGGCAACGCCAAACATTTCTCACTAGAGAATTAGTTTACTAGAGTGTATAGAAACTATCCCAAACAAAGTATCAGAAAGCCGATCCACAATTCAGCATAGTGAAAAACGCTCGGTGAAAAGTCAGACGTAAACTAACCACAAGAATGTTCATCAGACCCATCGCGACAGTCTGGACGTCCGTTGCACCGAAGGAATATGCTGACGCACTCTCCGGAAGCACATGCATATTGATCAGGGTTGCAACCGACAGGGATGTCTGTGAAAGAGGGTCAGCTGTTAGGTCAGTCTGTGATGGGGATGTGCACCAAGCAATCACCTTGCGTTGTTGATGCTTACATTGGTAAGGGTGGTATCGGTATAAGTTGATCATAATCCAGTGTCAAAGAAAGTGAAACCAATACCCATTAAAAAGGGACACAGATAGATATAGGCGAACATAGGCCGCAACCAGACTAGTGCATGCAGCAATAACAAGACTATTAAATTCAAGACAGTGTGTACGGAATTTCAATGGCAGTATGGAGTTAAGATGATGGCCCGCATCACAACGACTTGATTACTGGGGCAGTGAAGGCAACACCAGTCAATGATACCAAGTCTTCGTCACAGAAATTTTCATATACTTATGACAACGTATGATGTCCGTTTTTTCGATCGGTAGTTAAACCATTTTTAGAACACTTGATCCAAGAGATGAATGAACCGGTGAAGTACAAAGAATTGAAGTTGAGTAGACACTTCGTCCCCCAGGTTAAGGAAGAACGCGGTTTTGTTAGTATGGAGCAAATTCAGACCAGGTGGGTGAAAAAAGGTGATCATGATCATTACATTTTTCCAGCGGTATCATTAAACGGAGTGCGCTAGCTAACGTGCTGGCTGATCAAACTAGATGTGATGCATCTCTGCCTATAACGTTCAAACGCCCTACTACTCATTTGTAAGCGATACGCAGATCATACTGCCTATAGTGTCATAAGTTAAATGGTGGCTTAAGTTCGGTAAGTTCGTCGCTTGTTGAGTGGGTTACCCAGTCCGCTGCTTGGCAGTAACGTGCAAGTCAGTGGGTAGCGAGATGCACTATATCACATCTAGTACTTCAGCCGCAACAGTTGTTGCCGTCCGCCGTAGTTGAGTGGTTTCAACCACACACACTGGCAACAGTCGAGTTGCGGGTTCGAGCCACACAATGGTCAGATGGAATGCGTGCTGCTGACAATTCCTGTACAGCACATTTCCTGCTGAATGACGACTGTCTGGCTGAGTCTAGATGTGAGGAATTTCTACTTATACAAAATAAAATGTAGACCATATTTTCTGCCACACTACTTCGGTTACAATTGGGTTCGTGGACACACTGCGGTAAACCGCTGTGCACTGCCAAATAGGATTCGCCCTGTCACAAATAACATTCATTGGTGTGACTACTTTTGTATATGTAGACTGTCCTCGTTTACAGGTTTCAACTTTACATATTCTTCTAGAATAGTCGTTAACAGTTTATTTTCAAATGTGCTAGCGCTTGTTTCGTCATGCAACTTACGGTGCCTTCAAATAAATACAAATAAATTCATGCATTTGATTTAATGGTGGGATGTGTTCTGATCAGCAGCAAGCTAGCTGTTTCGTAATTACCTTCCACTCAGCAGGTGCCTAAGTTACTGTTTGCAAAATTTCTAATCTGCTTCAAAGTTTGATGGAAAATACACGTAAGAGGAGCAGCAAATAAAAAACAAATATTGATGTCGTCCGAATGAAGCCACTTTGCCAGGTCGGGAAATGGCTATGCCCGTGTGCTACGTGTATCTGAATAGGCTGTCTAATCATTTGACGAGCTGCTGTCGGACTTCCATCCCTGAGCGATCGATCTGTCAATAGATGCATCCGTGCTGAACATCAAGCTGTCGGCCACGACGCCCGCAACGTGTACCGAGCCAGACCACACCTGTTACCGGTTGGTGCTATTATTCTTCGGGCCGGTCATAATTGCGTGGGTGGTGCGGTGCTTCTCTACTAGCATCGCTCCACGGCGTGTGCCAAATTGGAACGACGCCGTTATGTGGAAACGATTAATGCCAAACCAGCTGCATGTACACCGATGAGCGTAGGTCGCAGGCACCGCTCCGTTGTGCACGTTTCATGCCGTGCCCGGTTTAATTACTAAACCATGCCGTATGCCAAGGGAAAGTTAGTTACACCGTCCAACAGCACAACATCAGCGTTACACGGTATATGTATAAAAATAATGTTGTCATAGGAAAGCATAGAAAGGCTTCACAATGCATTGCTATATACACTATTCCACAAGACGGAATCCTTTGACGTCGTAATGCTTCATTTAAGTGGCTATGCGCAAGTTAAAACTTCATGGGATTTACTGTTAAATATTCTAACCGAAGAGTAACTTACAACAATTCTGTTCATCAAAACCATCTTGGCAATCTTGTTGACCATCGCATCTCTTCTCTGGTGGGACGCACTCCCCAGATGGGCATTGGAAGTTCGGTGGGGGACATTCACGAGCTATAATAGGTATGGTATGCGAGAATGTGTGTGGTTAGGTCAACAATCTGTGTTTAACAAAATGCAGTCTGGTCATATTTCTCAAAGCATTTAAAAATAGGTTGTCTACTATTGTTCCGGATGTGTGACTTCCCACTGTGGACCCGATTGTGTGCCCATATATGTAGGTCTCTAACCGATATGACCAAAAGCAATTTGTTAATCGTATCATCAATTAACGGAATTGTGTCCGACCGCTGTCCGGTATAGCGCACCATGTAGTGTCATCGATAAAGGCCATGCGTAACCAGAGGGATAATTGTACACTCAGTATCCAAATCAGAAGCAACAGTCGCGGAGCTAGATGCGTCGATTCGACGTGACAAATCTGAGCCCAACAAGTTTCCGCGTGTCACATCAACTCCATAATCCCGAGTTCTTTGACAAGTGGAAAGCAAAATATAAACAATTTACATCTCGGTTGTGTTCTGCACGCCGTCATCAGCTAAAACACCCAAACAATCGACTACTTGGACCTTAAAACCCGATGCTCTTACGCACAATGGCCTCTAATGTGGGTGAAAAAATGCCGTCGAAAGGTTATTGCAGATACTCAGCCGCCTAATCTCTATTCCTAGCTTTCGCTGCACTCGGTGGAAGCTCTGGTTATCTAATGCAAGTTACATCATATATCTACACGGTGAATGTCAGTTGCATGAAAGCGGGTATTTACCATCTTTACTTACCAGGTCATTAACCTAATTTTGATGTCAATATTAAGTTCATCAAGCACAATTATTTCTGTGCTATAAAAGTGACGTATGGTGAGCGATAACGGCAGATTGGAAAAGCTGTGTGTTATGACATATCTCGGTCAAAATCTCTTACCGCAAACTGCGCAACTGAAGAATACGTATAGTCACAGGTAGAAACCAGCGTTAAAAATGGAACTGTAATACCTTGTGAATGATAGCACCAGATAGATCATTGGTGCTTAGTCAAATTTAAGAAAGATGTAGCCATTTGCATCCAAATGGTTTTCTGTGATCAGTGAACCCATGTTTTGAAATTTGAAATAACTCCTGTTGTATTTCACGCCTAACATTTGTACTTTTATTGTTGTTAATGCAAAAGTGACTACTTGTCAGTATTTTAAATAAAATATTACTTATGAAAGCGCTCTTAGGTGTACAGAGGGCTGCTGCAATTGGCATGGCGCAAGACATCCGCGCTCCTCGCGGAACATGATTATTTGACTGTTGGCTACAAATGCGACAAAGGAACCCCAGAAACGGATTTTGCAATACCTTTAACAGTTGGGAGTATGCAGCGAAATCATTACAATCACACTTGCACGCGGATGATGCTTACATTGTCACTTAATGTTTCTTGTAATGCGACTGCGGCCAATCTTCATGCATTGTACACTGGTTCCATGAGTATCGTATAAAAATTAACTTCAATACCTAGATGCGAGCCATTAGTTGCAAAGGTCTACTTACAACAACCCCATTCGTCCGAACCGTCAACACAATCCCTTCGCCCATTGCACCGCGAACCACTTGCGACGCACTCTCCAGACCTGCACGTGAATTGCAGTGAAGAACATGCTGGGGCTGTATAAAGCGAAAGCAAAGGACAGTTGTTGTGCAGTATTGTTTTACATGCTGTGTTTGAGCGGTTAAGGCTGGATGTATTGAAGCAATCTAGATTTCCTGTTTGATATAGTGTTGATAAGAACCTGTTTAATCCCGTCTTAGGAATGAGGTTCGCTAAATTCCGTCTCTTGAACGGCATCCTACCTAACCTCATGATGACCAAGTGCGATTTAGATGAGTGGCGCATCTGTAATTGCGATCGGCTGTTCTGGATCTTTCTACGAGGTATGCAAACATTGAGCGACTGCCACATGACAGGTTCAGGTCACCTACTCAAGAGACGGCGTTGCTCACAGCAGACACTCGTGCGTGAGACCATGCAACTCAAAGAAGAGCAATTCGTGACAAATCAACTACGTGCTTATGCAAGAGTAACGCAATCACCACTCGGTTCAGAAACACACCGCGTAGCGCATTAAAGTAGATGTTGAAATTGGTTTCACATGGGACAGCGTCCCTGATAACGAACTCCGGTAATAGGAAAAGGTTCAGTCATCTGCATGGCAACATTACTTGAGTAAAACTGAAATGTGAGACAATGTTTGTATGGTCGGAGACGCTAAAGCATCGAACGTAACTCAGGCTCATCCATACCAATGAGCGAGGCATGATAATGGGTAAAAACCTCGCCAGGTGTTGCGTGCAACCGGTCGATCTGCATTTAATAACCAAATGCAAAATGTTAATGACGTTACCTTGCGTTTTTGTGGTCGAACAGATGCACTGCAGTTGTGACAACGTGTGCGTAAATTTTTGAAAACTCGCGGCATGTTTCGAAACAACGTCGGTCTATATCGAAAGCAGTGCCAATTAAATGGTTGATTGGGACCGGTTGTGAAATTTATAGAGATGCAACAAGTTTCGGCACAAAATTTGTGTTTGCCCATACGGCGAAAGCTAAACACTAGTATTTCGCATTGCATAGTACATAAGCAATTACTCTGAGTGCAAAAACTGAATTTATGGAGGAATATTTACACGTGAGCAGGAAATATCTATACTTGATGTGATTTTTTATGGGGTTATTTTCTCGCAACGTCGGATATATTAAACATTTGTATGTTCATAAGTTGTGACAGGCCCACTACTACAAATGGATTTGGCATAATGTGTACCTCAAACTAGTCTACCTAAAACAGAATGCCGTAGGCGCAGATAACATAAACCGAGCATCTTTGTGCGGGTGGGTTTGGGGAAGCAAAAGAACTAAATTATGTGCATTGCATTCATTGGAAGTAAACCTCACTTTCAGTGTCCGTTCAAAGAGTAAAAGGAAACCACTGATATTGTGTAGTCTTGGGAATTAAAAAGACTGCTTTTTCCTTCTGCCCTACTCTTAATTACTTCGACCATAAGGGTGTGTGAACCCAGCACCCATATTTGAAGTATGCAACCTCGCGCCATAAATCTCGGAGGAAAGGACTTCTGGTAACTAAATCAATAATGCAGTAACTGCGTGGTTTCATGGGGATAAACTAAATGGCGTATAATAAATGGCGGAATTCCGCTGCGCAATACACGCGAAAATAAGTTACGAATGTGTTCAGCAACCGCTGCTGACATTTACATAACCCGTGTTCTATGGGTATGCTGACCAACACCACATTAGGTCCTTCGCGGTTGTCATAATTCAAACTCCAGTCACATACTCGGTCATACGCACTCCGCCCAGAGGGGTGACCGACCCAGTGGCCATTTTGTACGGGGCAGGGAACCTTACGCTGGGTCAGAGGACCGGTGCCGGTTAACAGCCAGCGCAACTCACTCCTAACAGATACTTCACATCAACACTGAGGTGGTTGCGGACCTAAAAACGTTCCAAACTGCAGTACTTTTTGTTCTGAGAACGACTAGGATCATACAATTTTTATTGGCTTTTTTGACAAAATTTCATGCAGTTTATTTTCGATATTTCACCGTTTAGTTATATCCAGTTGAACTATAAGAACGTCCTTTTCTCAGCTGAATGCACGCACAGCGCTTTCGAATTCCCTCTTAAGAAAATCATGTTCCGTCTTAGCTCCCTCAGGAGAGTCCTTATCGCTATCAAATTGTACCTAACGAGCGCAAACACTTATAAACATGCGTTTTGTTCATTGAGCGACCAATTTCAAGCCAACCGATAGTAGAACAGATGAGTACACAGAGTGAGCTTGATATTGGCCGATTTGGGATTAGTCACTCAATGAACAGTATCATCTAGGAGCGCTCGCGCCCCTAGGATGCAATTCGACAGCGTTAAGGACCATATTGTGTGATTTATGGCGGAACATGATTTGAAGTTTGAAAGTGCTAAGGATGCAATTGACTGAGAAAAGGTATAGGATGATGCAATGTTGCATCACATTGCATACTGCCATCATTATCCAGAGTTTGGTTTGTAATTTTCTGCTGCATTGCCGTACTACTGCCGGGCTGCTGGTGTAGTAAGCTGAGGTCACCTGTACAACACATGAAGCTCAATAGAAAAGGCGGAAAGTTTAAAATATTTTATGCTTCTTAGGATGCGGTTTGATGCACTACCACAGAAAATGTCTGCTAATTAATTAGTTAATGCCTCCAGCTACAATACAGAACGTTAGTCCCTGGAAAGTGCGCTAAGACCGTGGACAATTTTTGTTGTATCTGTGGGAAAGTGACGGTCGTCAGCCAAAAGAAAAGTATCACTGTTCCAGTAAAGAAAGTATATCATCTCCATTTCAGATGCAAGACTGACGACCAAGACAGCACTTGAGCACCAAAATTATGGTGCTATACATCTATAACACAACTTCCCATCGGTTGAACGGCAAAAGTCCATCATTGCAGTTTGAATTCCTCATGATGTGGAGATAACCGAGAAGCCATACGAATAACCGTTACTTTGCTTTTTTTTTCTCCTTCCGGTGAAAATCGTAACAAAAAAGATCGAGTGTGGCATGGTACAACATTTCGTCTGCACTGAGATCAGTGATTGACCCCCAATTCCGAAACCACTAAAACAGAGGTGTCCAAAGGCCGGCTCGCGGGCCAAATGCGGCCCGCGTTAACATTAAAATGGCCTGCGGCCTCATCATGAAATAATAAATTCAGGCTTGGATTTTTTTCGTGCATGTGTAATGTCAAACTGAATATAGCCCAAGATATTCTTACCTAACAAAAGGTGGCCCTTCTTGAAAAATTTTGGACACCACTCCTCTAGAATAATATTTTCCGGGTTCAGCTGATGAAGACTAGATTTAGACGACCGATATTTGTGTTGACCCGCCAGCATGCGGTGATCCAGATTTTTACTGTAGTGCTTCCTAAACCCCACATGGAATAAAACGACATGTTAAATGACATTATTCGTGATTTGTGCTTATTCAGAAACAAGGCGGAACTGCCAGGTTTGCGACTACAACAATCGAATCTTTTTGAAGAAAAAGCTAGATTTACTTCAAATCAAAAGCATCAGTAACAGTTGGAGCGTTTTTTAAGCTCAAGGTCACCTGGCATTCTGTTGTGGGACTACGAGCAAGGGAAATGCACTACTTTCGAAACGAATAGCTTCTCAGAAAGACTGTAACGGTGAGAAAGATGTATATTCATCGCCCAGCTCTGATCGTGGTGCAAAATGTGCTGCAATCTCTACACACCAAACTAGGTTCGACGACGAACTTCGTGAAAGCAATGGACTGAATTTCTTCCTCTTTCCAATATCTGCATGAAAATTCCTTTGACTCAGGGAAATAATGATTAAAGCGGGAGTCCCAGTGGATCTTCAAGTCCGAGAGCTATTCGAAGGGGACACATACAAAAATCTGATGCGGGGTGATGTGAAATAATCTCAGAATTCTGTTTGATTAGTGTTTACTAACTTGCTGGGGCATAAAACTCTAATTGACTAGCAAAAGACATGCTGGAGTAGTATTAGAAGATTGCGTCTGTAAACATTGCGGTTTTTCATCAATATATATAGCAGCAACGGAACAACGACATCAGAAAATATGATCCAGAAACACAATGGTTGACTGCTAATGGATACTAGTCAAATGCCCCTAAACAATTGTGCAAGAGACGGGTAAAGAAATGCAAGAAGTAGTATACCTCTTTTTTTACAAGTACTAACCTCATATGTAAATGGCCACCGGTGATGTAAGCAATTGTTGCGGATTACAAAAATACTGGAGTCAACTTGCATTTTGAATCTCGTATTCGTGTTCAGCATATAAAACATAGAACTGACAGCTTTTATCTCAGGAACATGAATTTTGTAAACATTTGGACGACCCCAGAGACATAAGTTCTATCACTAGTCCACCAGTCCCGCTACAGGGTGCTGGTGAGGCAGCAATTATGAACAAATAGAAATACTAAGTGAAACTACATCCACTAGTACATCTATTTATTCGCGTTGATAGATGCTAGTATAACACTACTGGGACTACGCTATATAATTAGTGTTAGTATATAATGGTAAAGTTACAGAAGAGTAGTAGGCGGAGTTGAATGTTATAAGTAGAAATTCCTCACATCTAGACTCTCTCAGATAGCCGTCACACAAGCGGAAATGCACCGTACGGCCGTTTCATCCCTTCGGGAATCGTCAGCAGTGCGCATTCCATCTGAGCCTGGTGGGACTCCAACCCACAACTTTACTTGGATAGTACTATAGTACTATATCACATCTGATAACTTATTTACGATGGTCGCTGCCGTCCCTCGTAGCTCAGTGGTCTAAACCACGGACTGGTAACAGTCGAGCTGTGGGTTCGAGCCCTACCAGGGTGAGATGAAATGCGCCCTGCTGACGATTCCCGAAAGGATGAAACGGCCGTATAATAGTGAATTTATTACAAATTGTGATAGCCTTTTGATTCTGTTGCTGCATAAATCTATAGTATCTTCTAAAGGCAGTAATATCCGTACTTACAAGTATAGAAAATATCGTAACCACAGGATTTTTGATCTTTTTGGAAACTGTTTATTTTTGCGCTTCATAGACAAACATTTGAATACCTCTGGTTTGGGTAAACCTGCATCACAGGAACCCAATTGTTTGCCTATGATGGAGCAAAACTGAAGGGTTTCCAGTTATTGATGTCATTATTACCTCTCCCGTGTGGTTCAATGGTTGCAAGGTCGTAAAATCAAGTGAATGGATCTCTGCTCTAGCCTCATTACTTGCTATTTAGCGTCACGTGCTAAGTTGGTGGCCATATGTTGGCAAACCACAATTACTAGGCTCAAGGCCCAACAAACAGCGTTGTGATGGTCATCCTCCTGCCCAGCATCCTGACTCGACGCGTATACAACTGCAATTCATTTCAATCAACAGTGCGCTCAGTGCATTTAATAGGATAGCATTGTGTACACTAACCCTATCAGCTGGTAGCTTTCTCGGTATGGTTACGAGGTCAGTTGCACGCAAGCACAAACACGATCCATAGAGCAGCGCGTCACATAAGATCGAGTGACCTATTGGGACACAGACCTATCCCGGCTTGTCCGGTACTATGCACACAGTCGGCCTCCACTTCGAGGCCAACAAAGATACCGGTGGTAAGGACAATGACCTAATTGATTAATCAGCACACACTTACTGGCCCCATGCAAATTTGATCCGGTCACAGTGAGGAGCATGAACGAGAGTAGGGTACCATTTTTGGACCGCTTTAGTGCAAGCACGTTCGTTGGCAGGTTGATGGGTGAATTTAATCTGCACCTCAAATTGAGACATGCGCATTCTGCAGTACACCAATATTCTATGGACCGGTGACTGGTCCACACTGTCATAGTTTGTCTACACATAACTGGAAATTTTAACAGCTATGGTAAAAATAAGCCAATTCATTGATAGTTTCCTTAGAACTTACAGCATCCTTGCTCATCAAAGTTGTCTGCACAATCTCTGCGTCCATCGCATCGCATTGCTGGAGTGATACATTCACCACTGGGGCACGCGATGTTGGGCGGCCGACAGGATTCGGCTGCAATAAGAATTGCATAAAAATTGCGACATGTCCTGATGTACTATGGAATTCACGGACAGTTAGGAGGAATATCAACTACTAATCCTTTTGGTGAATGTCGTACGTTGTTGAGTCTGTCACACAAGTTACGCCTCAGCAGTTGGCGACGGCTACTCCATTACACGGGACTGACGTAATTATTCACCTGTTCATAACTTACCTGGCGAATGCAGCAAGACTCGGAATTATTTTCGGGCAAGCTGGAAGCCGCAAAAGCCGACCAGTCAATAAATTATAAGGTTTATTATTCCACAACAACACAGCTGTCTGACCACAAACATATTTGTTGTCACAAAAGCTTTAGGGTTTTTAAGTACTCTAACTGGAGGAGCACTTGCCGGTAGTGAATCAAGACTACATGTTGTATTGGAGCAGACAGACTGGGATACACGATACCGCGTTGCACTCAACAGATGAGCGGCTTGCCTATCATACAGAGCTATGTTTGAAATATCCATTATATCACTTGATCGGAAGCTTTACTATTTTTCCGCTGCGGCTAAACTCCTTTCCCTCATAAAGTAGGGCACATTTTGTACCCCACAACGTGGCTGTTCGCGGGACTGTGAAAAAAGCTGTGCGAAGTTAATGACTTACCACATTGTCTCTCGTCTGCCCCGTCACTGCATTGCGGAATGCCGTCACAGACGTTAGCCGGAGAAAGACATTTTCCATCACGACAAAGTAACCACCCAGGTGGGCACATATCTCCAAGTACGTTGACAATGGTGACTCGTGCCCCCTTTCCCGGTATGTAACATCTAGTCGGTGAGGAGAAGGCATGTCAAAACTGCGTGACGTAAACCGCAAAAGAAACGACTGATCACAATGAGAGATTTCCAAAATAAGGAATAGCATCGGTCTGGGTGAGGAGCAAATGCACAACAACAACAACAACAACAACAACAACAACAACAACAACAACAACAACAACAACAACAAAGTGCGACCTGCGTGTATTAAACTTGTATGCCAGAGAAATAAAAACGAATAGAAAAGCAGCGTATGGATAATTGGAAGCCAAGCGCCAAATACAATAATTTCAACATATTTCCCCAAAATTTATGAACAATGCGCATCGACTGAGCTTTTTGCATAGAAGAACCTTAACACAAAGATCATTTTCGTCATTCATCATTCATTATACACATTAGCTGCAGGTGGAAAACACCACAGGTGTTGTGCCGAAAAACAGAAGAAAAGTAACATGAAACCGGCAAGTAGGCTGAGTCACCAGGAACGGGTGGATATCGTTCCGGAGAGCTAGCAGCCGGCAATTGTGCCGCAAATGGTCACATTATGCCTGATAATTGAGATCGTGGTTGGAGGGGGAGGCTAAGCGAGATGGAGAAGGACAAAGAAACTTACAACACAAACGCCATTGGGGTCGGCTCTTAGCGATGTCAGCAAGTGTATCTAGCCGAACGTGTTCATCATCCTTCGGCTCCCAACCAGGGAGCCGAGAGGCTCCAACGAAGGCCAACTTCAAAGTAAAGGTCTTCAGACCTTTTGACCAAGTAATCGCTTGGCTACCCCTGGAGCGAAAACAACGCATGTCGCGGGAGTCAGTGGGTGGGCATACGCAACACATAGCCCAGCTATCGGAGCCCAGCCATCAGAGCCTGGTGCGTGAAATAACGGTGCTGAGCAGTCCCTTCTTCTTCTTCCAGTGCCATAAACAAGACGTCGAACACGCTCATTGCGCCCACGGTGTTCCTGCCAACTATGTGCCAAACTGCGAAGGCATCGGTGGTCGAAGGTGACTATCCTCTTTATGTCTGCTAATCTAATGGGCCAGATCTCACAACCATACAGTAGGGCAAGACGTACGGTTGCGTTGTACACTCCACCCTTCAGGAAGTGTGATGTCGTGCCGGAGCCGGTTGGTGACCTCGTCTTCAATTCCCACGGCGCTGATAAAAACACCTAGGTAGTTGAACTTTTGAACGAATTGTAGCTTATCCTCGCCAAGGGTCAGGGAATGAGGTGCTCCCTGCCAATCTTGGAGGAAAGCTTTGCATTTGGATGGTACAAAGCATAGCTCGAAATGGGTGACAGCCAGTGTTAAGCTGTCCAGTGTAGTTTGGCACCTTTGGGAACCATCACAGATGAGAGCAATATCATCAGCATACTCCAAGTCAAGCAGTCTTTCACCTGGGAGCAAGTTCACATCTTCTAAGTCGTGTCCTGTGAACGCGATTTCCATGACTTTGTCAATAGCAGAGAAGAAAAGAAATGGTGACAGCGGGCATCCTTGTCTTACACCGCTGGAGATATTGAATGGCGGCAACAGGTTGCCGTAAGTTCTCACCCTACCCGAGCTACGCGCATAAAGCGCTGGCATAATATTTACATAATTCCTTAGCAGACAGTCCCAAAGGGCATGTCGATTCAGTGAAACTTAGACACGTTTGATGTCGAGAAACACGACAGCGTTGGCCCGCCAATATGTGTGACGGTACTCCAACAACCGACGTAATGTGAATATGTGGTCGATGCCTCCCCGACCACGACGAAACTCGGCTTGCTCTCACGAATCTGGTTTCCACTGTCGCCAGTCAGTCTGTGAAGGATTACAGAGGTAAGCAATTTGGAGACGACGGGGATCAGACTGATTCCACTATGGCTGCCACATTCCGAACGTGAGCATCCCTTGAAGATCTGGACAATAACGAAGCGGCTCCAGTTGCGTGGGACAGTATCCTGCTCCCACCGTTTCATTAGTAATGCTAGTAAATCATACACAAGAGCAGGGCTCACGAATTTTAAGAGGGCTGGATGAAAAGCACCTGGTCCGGCGGCTTTATTCAACCAAATCATTCCGATCTCATAGTCGACTTCTGAGCGGGAGGGCTGATCCGAGGAGACAGCCCAGGGAGCGGGACGATCACTAGCCGGTGAGGAATCGTACAATTCCGACCGGTTAAATTGCATTCAAAATGCTCAGCCCAACGCTCCAAAAGTTTTGAAAAGTTGCTAATAGGCTTTCCGTTCTCGTTAGGTATAGTTTCATTAACACCAGGTCTTCTGCTGCCCATTTCCCGTATCAGACGGAATAACTTCCGATGGTTACCAAGGCCAGCGGCCACTTCCATCTCTGACAAACGATGAGACCACCAAGATTCGCGGTCTCTCTTCAGGCTAGAACGGAGTTATATCCTGATGTCTTTGAGTTTGGTTGTGTTCGCTCTCAGCCGGAATGTGCTGGCGAGCATCCGTAAGTTCCAGAGACCGCAAAGAGACCTACTTGTTATGTTGGCTAGTGGGTTTACCACCTGTAGATTTACCCGCTTCTAGTAAGGTCTGGTGAACATGCGACCAGTGACTTACAACTATCCAATGAGCGCTTGTTCAACCCGAACGCCAGTGCACTTCGACACACATTCAGAATAGCGGGCCTCACCAGTTGACTGGTGTCCATGAGCTCATTGGGTTGTCGAGGGTTACCTCCAGAACGCACCCGCAGATCAGTACACACAAGTTCGGGGTCAGTGACCACGCGTGTGTTACAAATTCGGGAGATTTGACCGGCATTCGGGAGATTTGACCCATCAATCTTCCCAATGATGCTCAATTCCTACGTGCGCCCGCATGTTGAGTACGCAATCCAAACTTGGCAACCTTGGTTGAAACGCGACCTAGAAGTGATAGAGGCACCACAACGAAGACCAACAACAAATGTAAAGGGCCTGCGCTATCACTCTTACCACCGAAGGCTGAAGTTGCTGGGAATTTTCAGCGGACGTTATCGAAGGCTGCGCGGCGATCTCATATTAGCGTATCAGATACTGCGTGACCCCAACCACGTATGCCGCCATTTGCTGAAACTTAGCCACAACACGCAGCTTAGGGGTAACTGCTTAAAGTTGATGGAACAATATAGCCGTCTAGAGTGTCGACGGAATTACTTTTCCCTTCGGGTTTGCCAACCCTGGAACGCACTCCCAGACTCAGTTGTATCCTCTCCTACACTGGATGTTTTCAAAAAACGATTAGATGTTGCTCTCAGCTCCCAACATTTTGTTACCTAAGCTCCTCTGTTGTGGATTACGCCAAGCATGTTTTCAACAGGACTAATGTATCAAATGGACCTAAGTGAGCGACCAGATTCTATTTTCTCACTCCTTACCTCAACTATCACTGCGCCCCAGTGTCTTTCTGAACGTTTACGCGCGATATTTCTTTTTCATTTTACACTGATGTTAATTATCAAAGTATTCATCTCGGCAGACGTTCGATAGATGACTCAGACATATTTTAATTGCATTATATTCACCGCTACCATCCTACGGGACGTGTCAAGCACTTGCTTTTATCCCGTGATAAATCATTGTTCTTTGTTCATTGTTCAAATCGTACGACAGTTTTGCACGCAGCCTCTCCATCGGTAACTTATCGCAATGTGATAGATTTGCGTCCATGGTTGGTTCGAGGCTGGTGGGCGCCAAGTGACCTTCCAACGGGTACTGCGTCGAAAGTTAGTGCTCGTAAGGAATAAGCGAGCATCTTCACACAAATCAAGTAACCGCTCACCGTTATCATTACGGGAGCCTACACCATGTTAGCCGTCCAAATGCAGCTCATCAGTGGATCATTTCCCAACTTGAGCGTTCAGATCTCCAGCTATCACTACAGCGTCCGTGCTTCATCTGTGGCAAAGGAGCTCGTTCAGTTGACGATAGAAGTCAGCTTATACCGATCCATCTCCACAGTTTGTGGGGGCGTAGGCAGCGATGACAAACAGACTTTTATTAGCCCCGCGCTAATTCAAAGCTTTGAACCAGCCAGCCAATCGGACCGCACACATCCGGCTACTAAATAGGATCCAATCAAGCAGATCAGGCTCAACCGGGGGACTTGGGGCAATACCAACCCCGGTTTGGTCGGTGGTCGAAGCTGCATCATCACCGGATATGCGCAATGAGAATGTGCTGCTGGGGTCACCGGAAGGGGATAGCAAAGTGAGCACAGAGCTCGAGTCTTGCAGGCGGGTTTCCGATAAGCAGCAGGTGTCGATCGATAGGGTCTCTAGGGTTCGGGCAAATGCTGTCTGTTGCCCAATCTGCAACAAAGTGCGCATGTTGAGGCATGCCAGTCTTAGCGAGGATCGGGGGCTTCAAAGATTACCGGATTGTCGTGTTCAAATATTTTGCTTTGTTTTTGCTCTCGATTCGTTCATCCTACTCACACTTCTAGTTAGCACTCGTTGGCCCAGTCATGTGATCTTGCATTTGATTGATTGCAATTCGAACGCTTATCGAGTTAATTGTAACGCGCGTATGTACATACAGTTGTTCCATACCTACGTTCCGGTGATGCTATGGTCTACTGCTTTATCGGAATACAACAACTTGTCGTCGCGTGCTACCGATGTCTTTACATGCTAATGATCCTGCCCCATACTGGATTGACTCTGCGGTTACCCCAAATGCAGAATGCTGGGAAGACTGGAAAATTAGTTTTCAGATTATATTTCTGTGCTACCAGTTCTCAATCCATATATGGCGTTAACGAATGCGAGCAACCGCTTTCGTCTCCATCTCAAGAACCCAAACTGCCTTCGCCAGATATTCGTTGTTTTTTGCTTAGAATTGAAATCATTTGTCTAGACATGGAATTAGATTCCGTGTCACCAACCACAGTTGTGCCATATTGTTATAATAAACAGCACTTCGGTCAGTTAATTGTACGTCCTTCTGCTTAAACTTTCAGCAACCACACAAATGGTGATGTCCACATACTCGGTTTTGTTTCGGTTTCA